AGTATTAAGATGTGGAATAGGACCCTAATAGACAATGAAATGGCATCTAGACATTCAGAAATGAGATCAACTATAGTGGATACTGCTTTTTCCAGTGTGGTAGATGTTCATTAAAGAAAACTGAAATAGTCACCTATGTACATTGCTGATTGTCTTAAAAACAATGAAACAGCACACGGGAGGCTGAGACAGAAGGGTCATGAACTCAGGGTCAGCCTACATAGCAAGACAAAAACAAAAAAGGCAACAAAAAAGTTAAGGCATAAGGGTCTGGAGAAATGTCTCGGTGATCAAGAGCACTTGTTGCTTTTGCAGAGGACTTGGGTTGGGTTCCCAGCACCCCCATGGTAGCTCACAACCCTGACTCCAGTTCCAGGAGAGCTAATGGCCTCTGCAGGCATTGCATGCACATGGTGCACACAAACACACATGCAAAGCACTCATACACATAAAATAAAAATAAAATATTTTTAAAAGTTAAGCTGTGTTCAAAAATCACCAAATACAAACAAATTTGAACCTCTGGTGGAGGAGAAAATATCTTTCATTGAGTACTGCCTGGCAGTGGCTTGGGTTTTTGTGAAATGCATGTGAAGTTCTCAAACCACATGGCTTTTCGCATGATGTGTATTTATCAGACTAGTACCTCAAATTTCACAATTTTACACGTGTGACTATTTTTGCCAGTCAAACAGGCTGGTCTCAAACTGAGAGTCCTCTTTCCTAAACCTCCTATGTTCTGGGGTTACAGGGGTGTGTGTGCACCACCATGCCAGGTTGCCATTCCTTGTTTAAAGACATATTTGTCCTTTTTTTTGAGATTTATTTCTATTATTTTATTTATATGTCCATGTGAATGAATGCCAAGTGTGTGTGAGTGCCAGAAGAAGGCATCTAATCCCTTACAGCTGCAGTTACAGGTAGTTGTGAACTGCCTGATGGTACTGGGAACCCAACTCAGTTCTCTGTAGAGCAACAAATGCTCTTAATTCCTGAACCATCTCTCCAACCCCAGGAAATATTTTCTTTTTAAACAGAAGTAATAATGAAATAAGTCATTTTTAAAAAATAGTGTTAGGCACTTGGGAGGCAGAGGCAGG